ATTTCTACAACTGGGGAAATATCTTCCATCTGCTCTTTTCTGTAAAATGCTTGTCTGTCAGAAACTGTTCCTAAATTTGAGCATTCCAATTAAGACAGACTAGGAAGAAAGGCCATCCACTACCAAAATAGCAGAGCTTCGAAAACCCTATGTACAATAGAACACTATGACTCCTGGTGACCCTAAAACAACAGATCTGACCATTGCCTGCCCTGCACATCCTCACAATCTCCTACATACTGTAGCCCACAGTTAAATTCACTGTGTAACTCCATCTTATTGAGGGTTTTCTTCTCTTTCTCTGACCCTCTCTACTTTCCATAATGTCTTTTTCCGAGGACTGGCCCCTCCTGAAAACATGCCCAAAGTACATGAGAGAAAGTTTCACCAACCTTACCTCACCAATCTTGCCTCTCAGGATCACATTAGGTACACTTTCTTCAAGACGGATTAGCTTGTTCCTTTTGTATCCATAGGATATTCAGTACTCTTCTCCAGCACCACAATTCAAAGACATTGATTCTTCTTCTGTCATCCTTATTCAATGTCCAGCTTTCAGATGCATAAGAAGCAATTGAAAATGCCACAGCTTGTTGGATCAGGTGTGCTTACTCTTTCAACTGACATAATTGACCAAGTAGTGCTCTAAATGACATTTAAAAAAAGGGAAGGGGGCTCAAAGCAAAGGCCTGATTGACATGCGCAAATAAGGCCTGGCATCACCTCCCAGACCCTTGCACCTGACTCCATCATGAAGCTGTGTGCATGCCAAGAAGTAAGGGGCATTACAACCACCCAGCCAAAGCTGGGAAGTGAATTTTCCTATACAAAAGGGATACAAATGGCATGTAACACTCTCCTATAAGACATATTAAGATTCAAATTAGACTGAGGACAGCAAGCACTTAGAAAACATTATTATTAAAACACTTTGTAGATCAGGTACAGCTGTCAAGCAACAAGTCATTTTCTGGTGCAGCTCTAGTTCTCCAAACTTCTACACAGAATGACCTCATTAGCTCAGCCTTCAGCAAGGTTGAAATCATATAAGAAGGCAAAGTTGTGCATATCTTCCAGATATTTAGACACATGATCAGTAAGAACTGTCCTCGTCAGAGAAGATTTATCTCAACATCGTAAAACCAGAAATAACGCACTGTTGACGCTTTCACGGGATTTGAGATGCTGTAAACCACACAGGAGGAGGTCGTCGAGCTTTCTCTTGTGGAGCAGCTGGTGGATTCAAACAGCGAAAGAGGCATCACCTGTTAGTTTGCAGTGCAATTCCCTATGGATGAGGCCTGATAGTTCTTAGGAGAAGGTTCAGTGAAGGCAGGAATTCAGGTGAAATTGGGAAGGATGTCAAAAACCAAGTGAAACACAATGTGAATAAAGAATAGTGTGAAATATATATATATAAACTTTGTAAGCAGACCAGTTTTAAAACGACATTACTGTAATATGATTTTAATTACAATTTATAGTAACATTTAAAAAAAAAACACACCAAGTTCAATTGGGCAAGAGTAAGGGGAACTCTGGTGGCTTAATGGTAAGGAGTAGTGCTGCTAACCCAGACGCATGTGGTTTGAATCCATCAGCTGCTTTGTGGGGAAAGAAAGAGTAATCTGCTCCCATGTGATTAACTGCCTCTGAAAACTCCCTGGAGGGACAGCTATGGATTGGTTTCCTCCTCAGTGCTACACAGTAACAAGAAGGGGAACCCACAGGAAAACAAGCCAAGCTGACTCCAAGGCAAGAGAACCCCATGTGTCTCAGAGGAGAATGATACTCCACAGGGTTTTCAGTGACAGGTGTCTTCAGAAGTAAACCACTAGACTTTCTTCTGAGCCACCTCTGAGTTAATGAAAATCTTCAGCATTCTGACTTTCACATTTTAATGAGCAGTGGAGAGCATTAACCATTTTTATTATGTAGAGGTGCACAATGACGTGAAAATATGTGAACAGCCACAAAGGAGATATGATAAATTAGTCCATGAGATAGATATCCACCACATCTCTGAAATTTAAGAAGCCCTTAATAATGAGAAAAAAAGACAGAAGGAAAGGGAGGGAGAGGCAGAAGGAGGGAGGGAGGGAAGGAGGGAGGTGCAGAGAGAGAGAGAGGAAGAGAAGAGAAAGAGAGGGGGAGAGAGAGAGAGAAAAGAAAAGCAAGTTAGACTTCAACTAAGCAGTGAATTTCTCCCCAATGTTATCAACTAGATAATCACTGCTTCTCCCTGGAAAGCAGAAGTTTCTTCACCAAGGGGTTAGAACTGTCTGCACAAGGTCTTATTTCATCAGAAGAAGTTATAATACTTTTTTAATTCCATGAAAAGGGCAGCCATTGAAAAATTTTCAAAAGGGACATGAAAGTAGTGTTAAAGGGACATTAATATTAATATGTGGTGTGTAATTTAGAGGGGGAAGAGAATGATGCCAGAGAATATGACTAGAACTCAGATGCATTAACCAGAAAGAAAGGGAAAGTGCGGCCTCATTTACCATGAGAATGGGGGGGGGGGGTGGAAATGACACAAAAGGAAAGAATTCCACAGTTCAAAATCATAGGGCTCTGTGACTAAAAAGATGAAAAAGGGAAGATATAGAAGATTTGACCCAAGGTTTTAAATACAAAAATAGAGACAGGAACAGCAAGGTTGTAAGAGGGGGAAAAGAATGTTATTATTATTATTATTATTATTATTATTATTATTATTATTCTCATGTGAATAAAGAAAGGGATTTTATGCATCTGGATCACTTTCAACTCCATGGTATTCAACAATAACTACATGCATCTAAAAGCTTGACAATGAATAGGGATGACAGAAGAATAACCAATATCTTTGAATTGTGGTGTTAGAGAAGAAAACAGAATATCCTAAGAACTGCTAAAAGAACAAATAGATCTGTCTTGGAAGAAATAAACCCAGAGTTCTCCTTGGAGGCAAAGAAATGACAGGAGAGGTTATTCTTGGGGAGAGACATCATGCTTAGAAACATGGAGGGTCAATGAAAGAGAGGAAGACCCTGCAATGGGCTCGAGTGTGTCAGAAATGATGAGGATGACACAACACAGAACAAGGTTCATGTCTGTTGTTCACAGAGTCCCTATCAGTCATACTCACAGCAAGTAACAGTAACTAACAACTGTTAAAGGAGATGGGAGACAAAAATGCCTAGCGGTGTGACTTTGTTGACATTGTTGCCTTTCCAAACTCCTAAACTTGGCAAAGCCAGCTATCAGAATAGACAGCTCACCGAGTAGATGTTGAAAATAAGGAAGGACACAAACCTCACACAGGGACAAGAACACTAAGTGACTTCTTTGTTACCCAATAGGAGCATGTTTGAAGCCAAGAGTTTAGGACAGAGGCAGCATCATGATAGATGGAGAAAATATTAAGATGTTAATTTCATGTTGCTGTTATCCATAATCAACACTCTTGGCACCAGCAGTCAGGAACTCAAAAGACAAGTTGCATTGGGAAAGTCTGTTGTCAGGAACTTCTTCAGAGTGCTAAAGAGCAACAACATCATTCTAGAGACTATGGTGTGCCTGGTTCAGGCCATGATGTTCACAATTACATACTATGCATCAGAAAGCTGGACAATGACTAAGGATGACAGAAGTAGGATCAATGCCTTTGAGTTGTGTTGCTGAAGAAGAGTATTGAACATACTACGGACTGTCAAAAGAACAAACAGGTCCGTCCTAGAGAGGGTGAAACCAAGTTTCTCCTTGAAGGCAAGGATTTTTAAACTTTTCTTCACATACCTCGGACATACTGCCAGAAGGCACCAATCCTTGGGGAAGGATATCATGCTTGGTAGGGTGGAGGGTCAGCGCAGGAGAGGAAGATCCTGGATGTGATTGATTGATACAGTTACTGGGATAATGGGAACAAGTGCGTCAGATACTGTGAGACTGGCTCAGGTTCAGAGCTATTGTTCATGGCTATGTGTCATAGATGACCCAAAAGCACACAACCACCACCACATTTTCATTTTTTGCAATCCAATCACTATTGCCTCTAATTAAGCATACATCAACCTTGTCCCGTCAATCTATTCAATGTAATAAGAACAAGTGTCGCAAGAGTTGTTGGCACATTTTCTAGATGATTATCAGATGTCTCTGGCGAAAAGGAAGACTAGCATTGAAATTATCTGCACCGGGCGGGATTTATTTCCTTTGGCTTTGTTATAAAGGAGGACGGTAGTGCATTGTACCTTGTTTTCCTAAAAGGAGGGACGTTATCCTCTAATTTAATCTAGACTTTGTATTTCTCCTCAGTCTGTATACCACAATGTTTCCCAAATAAAACAAATACTCCAGTTTATCAAATAAAACAAACTGGAGAAGAAGCTTACTACTCTACAAGCTCTAAATCTTAATATTTACTTTAGTTCAAGGAAAAAAGATCTTTGAGGTTGATGGCATTGTGTTCATATCTATCCCAGCTGTTCGTTAAGTTGCTTTGGCTTCAACAGCCACTTGCACCTGTAACTCTTGCCCATAATGGACTACATTTCCCAAGAACACACGCAGAAGAAAGCCCATGATTTGCATTCTGGGAATTGTAGTCCTGGGTGACTTCGTTTCTCCCACCCCTTGACTCACATCGGACTCTGGAAGGGTTGTGTCCCTAAACCAAACTAAACCCCCTGCCGTCAGGAGTTACCAATTAGCTTGGGCCATGTCGATGACGCCGTGGCCCAATCAGAAAAAGGTTGTGTTTGAGTCCCGCACAGCGATTAGTCAGTGGTGACTCTAGGAGGGCGGGACTCCGGGAGGCCGCAACGATTGGGTAGAATGTCCGCTGTACAGGGCAGGGATTGGCTGCTCTCTGGAGCAGGGAGTCCTGGGAAGGGACATAGGAGGGAGGCCGGAGCAGGAAGTGCAATAGCAAGGTGGTGATAGCGGCGGCGGAGGCTGTGGTGCCAGAGGCGACGGCGACAGCTCCAGGGGGTGGCGGCAGCCCCGCGAGTAGGATGCGGGTCGGGGTCGGGCTGACACTGCTGCTCTGTGCGGCGCTGCTGGGCTTGGTTTCGGCGTCCTCGGGTCAGTATCCGCCCCTCCGGGCTTGAGGCCCGGAGCCACCGTCCCACCCCCACCTTTGGCTTTAGGTGGGCTGGTTTGGGACTCTGCTGTCTCTGGTCATTCCTGGCACTGGCTTGTCACTCGCTCCTTCCCCGAACTTCGCTTGGTCTGGGATGGTGAGGAGGAGAGAAAGGGAGGGCTGTCAGCCAGCCTCCTGCACCTAATGAACTTTCCGCGGCTTCTCGCCAATGAGGAATTGACCCTAGAAGAAGGGCAGGGACACAGGAGCCCCGCTGGACGTGTAGATTATGTCGGGCGAGGGGCTCAGAGGCTGGGATTTATAGGTGAGGCTGTCACTCTCTGGGCAGAGCATAGACCAGGATGTTGACAGCGTTTTGGTCGGTTTGTCTAGATGACCACTGGTCGGTCTGCTTGTCCTTCTGAAAATTAAGACATTGGATGTAACTGTACTTCTTCCAACTCTGGCCCATAAAATACCCCCCAAAATACCCACCTTTCCTAAGATGTGTTTACTCTAGCAGTTTCTGAAATTGTCGGATATTTGTTTGTCATAGCTTTATGGTTTTGAAACAATTGTGGTCCCTCTAAGTCTGGGACTAATCACAAGTTGTTTGAATTTTTTACATAGATATAAAATATAGATAAAAGATGGGCTTTTGAATAAGGTTTTCAATTAACTAATTTATTAGTGTTCTTGAAAAACAAATATTTCTTTAGTGCTCTAAATTTTAGTCTACCAAAGGAAACGACTTTTCATGGTGTTTGTAAAAATCGTTAATAAAATTTGGCATTTTAATCTGTTTCAGTAAGAAGACAACTGTTCTTCAGCTTTAAATCTTTTTGGAACAAGGCAGGATATAAATAAGCCAACTTCCCCCCCACCCCAAACAGAATTTCCCAGATGGTTATTTGAATCCCCAAATTATCTGTCCTAGTTGCAAGTCAACACCATAAAGTCATTCTGCTTTTAAAAGGAAACATTCTAAATCCTATTCATAATGTAACTGAGATACCACTTGAAAAGCAATAAGCATATGTTGATTATTTTACTGCTTATGTCAGGCTATAAGTTCACTCCCCATCCATTTGTAGTGATGGCTTGCATTCATTGTCAAGTTTTTAAATGATACACCTAAGTCTTAACAGTGCGTTTTAGCAGCTATTTCATCAAATAGGAAATGAAATGAAGCTGTTGCATTTAAAATATAAGGTACCTGATGGATTGTAGGCTACTACTTTGTTAGAATCCCGATGACGTGTTTGTAGGTTTAAGTCCAGAACAGGTGTGGTCCTGTGTTATATATAAGTCCTACTGTGGTTCTTTACATTAAAGTTTGAGAATCAACAGTAAAAGAAATAGTATCTATCTCCCTGAGCTCAGTTTGCAAAATTTAAAACATCTCTTATCCTGCATCTTCTTTTGACTTTCATATTATGAACATGATGCTTAAAGAAGTCATTAAGTCAACAGTTGGGATTCCCATAATGTTAAAATATTTTCAGGATTTTATTCTTAGATAATCTGACTATCCAAGTATATCCAAAGTGTCTGACTGATACCTAAGTGTTAACATCTTTTCAGTTGAATTGATATGAGTAAAGGCTTATATTTGAGAACTATCTGCTCTGATTTCCTTCATTGTTAAAACTGTGCCAGAACACTCTTATGGTAGAAATAAAAACTCCACTTACGCAATACAGATGGGCATGCTGAAAGATGATCAAGGCAGTACTGCGCTTCTCGTACTGGTTCATATGCCAGAAAACTCCCGTGTGCAATACAATTTTATGATTTGAGTACTTGGAATTTTTAATTGACCTCATCCCTAAAGTTTAGATTTAGAGATTTCTTCCTAAATAGAAAAAATCAAAAGGGATTTGTGTGTGTGTGTGTGTGTGTGTGTGTGTGTGTGTGTTTGTGTGTGATCATTTTGTGTTACCTTTAAGTTAACAGTTAGTGGTGAGCGTGGGCAAGTTGTTTTCCAGTACAATATGGTGAGCCCTGGAGGAGATCTTGATCCCATCACTGTTATTAGCTGCTTATTGACAATCTTTCAGAGGCATGTAAAAACGTGATATTTTTATTAGAAGTGCCTTCTCTGTGAATTAATTACTTTTAAGGAAATAAAAATATTTCTTTTTCCTCAAGATAGTAGTGAAAATTGTGTTGGTTTCTTTATCTGCTTTGAAATATTTATTTACTTTTCGGCAGGTAGAGGCAAATGCTTTTCTTTTTGTATAAAATTAGTATTAGTCTTTTAGGAAGCCCTAGTGCCATGGACTGCTAGGAGAACAAACAGGTTTGTCCTGGAGAGGGTGAAGCCAGAATGCTCCTTGGAGGCAAGGATTCTGAAGCTTCATCTGACATACTTTGGGCATGTTGCAAGGAAGGACTGGTCCTTGGAAAGGGACATCATGTTTGGCAGAGTGGAGGGGCAGCGAAGGAAATGAAAATATTCAATGAGATGGATCGATTCTGTGAGTGGAGTGGTGGGAATGAGTGCATTTGAGATGGCTAGGTTGGCACATGATAGAACAGCGTTTAGAGCTCTTGTACCTAGAGGGTCACTATGAGTCACAAGCGACTCGATGGCACAGAACAACAAGTGTTAAGGAGTTTGGGCTGCTGACTCAGAGTTGCACAGAAAGAGGGGCAGTCAACTTCTGTGCACTTTACTGCCTGCGAAAACCCACTGGAGGGTCAGTTATAAATCAGATCTGACTCAATGGTACGTAACAACAACATTATTAATACACAGCAAAAATTGTGAAGATCGTACAGAATCAGACAGGGCTTTATTTTGTATGTAGAATCTGTTTGCGTCAGATCCAGCTCTAGACAGCATCTAACAATACCATAAATTTACAGAGTAGCTTCCAGATTGCAGATGTTCAATTTCATTGTTTTGTTTCTTTATGTATTACAATTAGTCACCAGGACAGAAGGCTCTGTCTCCTGTTGAAGAAGATGGAGAAAATGAAGAGTGCAAAGCTTAAAGTGTGCAATTATGTGTGTCAGAATAAATCCGTAATGAAACCAGCTTTTAAGTAGTTAAAAATCCATAATGTCCTAGACAGAATCAGTGCAGTGTGGAAGACATACGTATGTCTGGCCTCTTTTCACCGAAACTCTTAAGACTTTTTGTGTTTGAAGTTCTATTACTTTGCCTCATTTGCATGACAAGTGAGAAAATAAATTTTTAATGGTCACTTTTCCCTAAACGGATATCTGGAGCACTGCAAAGCTTTGTTAACCTACATAATAAAGATAAAAACATCTTTTTTTCACATTGTATTTCAAACGATCATTCATGTCTTATAAAATGAATTACCGTTAGGGAAAAAATTTTTTTTTCCAAAGGATCTGTATAGTTAATAATCTAAGCCATTATATTTGGATATAGTAATATTGAATAAAAGCTTCATTGGCAGCTATTTAATTTCTCTTTTTTGTTATGTATGTTCTTAGGAAAGCATTACTTTTTATAGTTTATGCAGGACTTAGTTGTCTTAAATCCTTACCTAATTGCAATGTCAAAAATTCTTAGGTTGTAAGCAACTTCTTCGTAAGTCTTATGTAAATAGGGATATCAGTTTGAAAAAGAAAAAGAGCACATGCTGTAGGAATACCATCTGGAGTAGGCTTTCCTTCCCAGCTTGGTAAATGAGAGAGAATTATTTACTGGTAATGTTAGTATATGCTCTGAGTTCTTGCAGAGCAGGAGTGAAACAGAAGCATGATGCAATTCATGTGAAATAACCCCGGTGTCACAAATTCCCATCTCTTGTAGAGTTCCAACATTTGTTTTGCTTCTGGAATGTCTAAAAGCTGTCATGTCTCAAGCTTGCATGTTTTAGATTTATTTATAGGTCTCTATATTCTTTATTAGTGGTAAGAAGGCACACTGCTAACACAAAGCTGCACAGTGTGAATCCACAGGAGAAGGATGAGAGGGAGACAGTGTACTTCTGTGCGATTTACTGCCTATAAAAGCCCACTGGAGTGTCAAAATGAGCAAATTGATGGCATATAACAACAACAAAGAACATTACATCTCAAAATGAAGAAAACAAATATCCTCATATGCTGGACCAGTCGCAACATCGTGATAGATAAAGATTGAAGTTGTCAATGATTTAATTTTATGTTCATCCACAGTTGACACCCATGGAAGCAGAAGTCAAAAAACATCAAAAGACATGTTACATTGGGAAAATCTCTTGTCAAGGACCCCTCCAAAAATGCTAAAGAACAACACTGTCAAAGACTATGGTGTGCCTGACCAAGCCTTGTTATTTTCAGTTACTTCCTGCACATCTAAAAGTTGGACAGTGAGTAAAGATGAGAGAAGAACGGATGCTTTTCAGTCGTAGTCTTGGAAGAAAGTCGTAACTATCCTATCAACTGCCAAAAAGACAAACAAACCTGCCTTGGTGGAAGGGCCGTCAGAGTGCTTCTTAGAGGCAAGGAGAGTCTTGGTCTCACATACTGTGGCCACGCTGTCAGGCAGGGCCAGTCCTTGAAAAAAGACATCAAGGTAGAAAAGGAGGATCAGTGAAAGAAAGACTGTCAACAACATGGACACAGTAACTGTACGGTGGGCTTGAGCATATTAGAGATAGAATGTTACAGAATAGGACAGGGTTCACATCTGTTGTTCCATGCGGTTGCTGTGAGTTGTAGTCAACTTGATGCCACCTTACAAGCAGCATATTATTTTATGAAGGCCTGGTGGTGCGATAGTTAAAGCACTTAGAAGCTAACCTAAAGGTTGGCAGTTGGAACCCACTAGCCAGTCTGAGGAAGAGAGAGAAGGCAGACTGTTTCCATGTTTACAGATTTCAGAGCCTTATGGGACAGTTGCTATGAGTGGGAATGAATTTCTAGTGATCACTTAATAGCAGTGGGATTTTTGTGAGATTATTATCATCTCCTGTTAATAGGAGATCTAGTGTCACTTTGGTTAAAATAGTTAACTGATAGGTAATCAAAAACCTACTAGTTCTAACCCCTCATATCTTCCTCGAGGCAAAAAGAAGAAACAACGATTTCAGTTTTGGGGACTCCAATTGACAGGTGTCAGGTCTGTTCTGTCCGAAAAAGTCAGATTTGACTCAGTGGTAGTGGCTTTGGTTTGGTGGGTATTATGTACAGTTGTTGTTGGTGGTGGTGGTGGTGGTGTGTCCCATAGATTCTTAACCGACCTATAGCTGACCCTCTAGCAGGTTTTCAGAGGCACTTAATCACATGGGAAGAGACTGCGCATTTACCTATAAGACCTGTTTATTAGGTGCCATCAAGGCAACTGCAGCTCACAGCAATCTTGTGAGAACAGAGCTGAGCCTTGCTTGCCCTGTCCTGGGCCATCCCCACCATCTCTGATGTGCTCAGACCCATTGTAGCAGTCACTGTGTTAATCCATTATATTGAGGATTGTTCTGCCTTTCTCTGAACCTCCACTTTTAAAACCTGTTATGTTGTTCTTTTGTGCCCTCGAGTCACATACAATTCATAGTGACCCAGTGCACAGTAGCTCTGAACCTCGTGCTGTCCTGAGCCAGTCTCACTGTCCTAACACACCAACCTCCATTACCTCTGTTACTGTGTCAACCCAGCTCATAGGCGGTCTTCCTCTCCTGTTGCCCCTCCACCCTTCCAAGCATGATATTCTTCTCCAAAGACTGGGCCTTCTTGGCCACATGCTAAATAAAGTATGTGAGATGAAGTTTGAAAATCCTAGCCTCCAAGGAGAACCTTTGTTTCACCCTCTCCAAGATAGACCTGTTTGTTGTCTTGGCAGTTTGTGGTATCTCCATTACTCTTTTTAGCACCACAGCTCTTCTTTTGTAATCCTTAGTCATTGTCCAGCTCTCTGATGAGCAGAAAGTAATTACAAAGACCGTAGCCTGAATCAGGTGCACCCTAGTCTCTAGACTGATGTCATTCCTCTTCAGCTAGTTGGCGCACTGGCGAGAATCTTTGTTTTCTTGAGGTTGAGCTTTAATCCATATTGAAGACTACAGTCCTTGACCTTCTGCAGCAAGCGCTTCAGGTCCTCTTTATTTAAGACAAGCAAGGTTGTGTCATTGATATAACACAGGTTGAGTCATTCTCCAGTCCTGATGGATGCTACATTTGTCCTCATAAAATCCAGCCTCTCGAATGATCTGCATATATATATAGAAAAAGTATGGAGACAGGATGCAACACTGACAAACTCCTTATTTTGAACCATGCAGTGTTTCTCTGCTCTGTTCTGACAACTTCTTCCTGGTCCAAGTTTAAGTTTCACATAAGTACAACTAAGTGTTTTAGGATTCCCATTCTTCTGAAGGTTAGCCCCAATTTATTGTGATGCCCACAATCAAATGCTGTTGCAAAATCAATGAAACACAGACACTCCTCTGATACTCTGCTTTCAGCCATGATCCATTTGACATTAGCAATAATATCTCTAGTACTATGGCCTTTTCTAAACCTAGCTTGTATTTCTGGTAGTTCTCTGTTGATGTACTGTTCTAGCCATTTTTGGATAATTTTCAGCAGGAATTTTCTTACTTGTGATATTAATGATACAGTTTGATAATTTCCACACTCTGTGGGGTCACTTTTTTTTTTAATGGAAGTAAATATGGATCTCTGCCAGTCAGTATTAAATTTAATGAAAATAGAATTAGTTATTTCAAATTCTCACCTAAAGTTTTGGTGTACTTTAGGACTATCATGCCTGTGTGTTTAATTTCTGCTCTTGATAGATTAGTTAATAATTATAATTCTTTCAGTATCCCCATATATACAATTTTTATATTGGAGTAGTTTTTTCCTTTATCAAGATTTACTGAGATTGGATTTTTTTTTCTTCTGTTTAATCTTTTTATTTGAACTTAGAATACATAGAAGAAATTAGTATGAAGGATGATAAGTAATTAATTGTCATATAATAGGGTCAGCTGTGTCAGAGATGCTGCATTTGGCTCAGGATTAGACAAGGTTCCGAGCCGTTGTCCATAGAGTTGGTGTGAGTTGTAGTTGACTCAGCAGCACATAACAACAACCTAAATGTTACAAGCACTGTGGGATTAGTATATGCTACACATTTCTCTTTCTCACTTGCCCCAAATAAAGCATCCTCTGAGGTTAATCCAAAAAAAGTGAATGTGAGTTATCATGTAAATTTTCTTTGAATTGAGCATTTTTGTACGTGATAAAACCTCATAGACTTTTTCTCAAATTTATATATGTGTGTGTGTGTATAGTAGAATGTATATTTTATGCAAAATGAGTTATTTCTACTTCTTAAAAATTAACTCAATACTTTGACAGTGCCAACTCTGAAACATGATTTTGTTATGCTTTAACAAAATTTAAGAGTTATGAATAATATTTAAGCTATAACCATAGGAAGCAAAGATAAATAAATGGCAACTGGAATTCAAAATTTTCTATTGAAAACCACATAGTATTATGACAGTTTGTCTAATAGCAATTGTCTCCTTTTGTCTACTGTAACTTTCAATAAAGTCTATGGGCAAACAATACCCAAACTCACTTCTGGATGGAACTAGGTAACTTTAAATACAGAAAAGGAAACTTAGAGACCATCTCTTTGTTTTTTCTTTCTTTTTTTTAAGCTGTCAAGGAATACAGAGATCAAACAATTGGGCATGAACATTGGGTTATTGTATGTGTTTTTAAGAGACCAGGGAAAAAGAAAGCAAGAGGCCAGAATAGTAGTAACAAAAACAAAGAAAAAAAATAGTAGAAGGAAAACTAGTATAATTGGGCAAAAATAAAAGCATCCTGTGTGAATTTGGCAAATAGTATAACTAGTTGACTAGGTTTTTTAAAGCTAATGATCTAAGTACTTCATGAAAATCAGTTCATGATACTTTGGTTCTGTTTTTTGCCTGCATCTCGTTATTTGGTAAAGAAAAACAAAAACCCTTGAGATATCTCCATGTCATAATAATTCTCAACTTTCTTCTTTAGTAATCGTAGTGAACAATAGAGATAACTCAAACGGTAATAAAACTCCAGATCTTGAGGAGAAAACCCAATAGGTAGAAATCTAAACCAATCAGATTTTTTTTTTTTTTAACTGAGGGGAGGTCTAGGGTAATCCATAATGAATTGTGCAGTTAACACAAAGGGACATTTCTTTGGAGGTTCAAATCCACCAGCCACTCTACAGGATAAAGCTATGCAATCCACTTTCACATAATTTAGTCTCAAGAACCGAGTTGAGGGTCAACTATGAGTCAGTTGTAACTAACAAGGAGTTTTAAAAAGTCATTCCCAGTAATAGGCTAAATATATACAGATTACTTAGTGGAATCTAAGAGTGAATTTAGGAGCTCTGGTGGCCTAGTGCTAAGAACATGTATGTGCTGCAATCCCAAAGGCATGAGGTTCAAATGCATCAGCTACTCCAAAGGGAGTCTGAAGGAGAGGAGTGGCAGCTATGAATGAGTCTGTTCTAACTCGGCAGCACACAACAACAACAATTGAATCTGGAGAGAGAGAGTGAGTGAGAGAGTGTGTGCGTGTGTAAATGATTAGATGATATTCTTCTCTGTAGCAGAGGCTTTTTTTCTGGGGAAAGAAAAACTTTACCACCTGCTTCATTTTTTTTTTTTTTCCCATTTACTCTTTTCTGGCCAGTCACTTAATGCAACTACTTTTTATGTATGTCTAGGTTTATTTACTCAATCTCTCTGGTCATCTTTTCTTATAAAAATGATACCTGAAGGGAGCTCTGGTGGCATAGTGGCAGGAAGCTGCACTGCAGTCCCAGAGGCAAGGCGTTCCAATCCACCAGATGCTCTGCTGGAGAAGGAGGGGCAATCTCCTCCTGTACCAGTCAGATCCGATCTGATGGTACACACACACAAAATAATAAAATTTTAAAAAAACAACAAGAACAAACAATTATATCTTTACTTTCCTAATAAAAAGATAACTAAATTGTGCTTATTTCTTTGCAGAAGAAGAAGGCAGCCAGGATGACTCTTTAGATTCCAAGGTATGTACTAAAATTTGCAGAGGCCGATAATATCACCCAACTTAGAAACATGAACAATGAATTTTACAAAAATATATAATCCTCATCATGGGAATAACTAATTGAAAATAAAAACGAGTAATATCAGTGATAAATCTTATCTACAAGAGAAATTTGTCTCGAATTTTCACATATTCTGATTATCTGAATAATAGTTAAGGAGGAATAATAAGTATAGTGCAAGCCCTTGAACAGTGGCTTGAACTGCTGCACGGACTCAGGTATCTGTATTTAAGTATCTGCTTAAAACACTGTTCATCTTGTGAGAAGAGAGGCAGTTGCTCAGATCATTAGCAGCCTTTGATCTCAACACAATAGCAATAGGAAGTCAAAAGAAAATTCCATACAGATGATCCCATACAGTTCAAACCCCTGGTGGTCAAGGGTCACCAGTACTTCCTATTGGAATGAAGAGCCTCAGGGAGTAGCATTTTTCTTGCCTAATGAAGGGCTGCTTTTATTTGTTGTTTTAATTGAACCTTCTAATGTTGACATTTTAACTTCTGTCATTTGTTTTACTTTTCTCAGTTCTGAAAATAAAAATTCAGCCTAAGAATAAAATTGATTAAATATTCAGGGAAACCAGTTTGTTGTTACCCAACGTCTGTATTATTAGAGGTAAAATAGGTAAGAAATACGAAATTACAATACAGCATGGAATGGAACTGTATAGTAGGAAGACCTAACCCGGACTTGGGAATTAAGGAAGGCGTCTAGTGTAGAGAGGTAAAATTGAACTTGAAATCTGAAAAAAAAGTTGGCAAGAAAGACAGACTGTTTCAAGCAGAGTGAGTGAACACGTGCTAAAGCCTACAGAGATGAGCATGTGTAGCATATTCAAAGAGCTAAAGGAAGTGTAATAAAAGTTATAGTCGAATGGGGTTTCAGGAGTTGTGGTATGGGTAATTAATAAAAGTGCTTTCTGTCCCCAGACTGCTTTGCCATCAGAGGAGTCAGTGAAGGACCACACCACAGCAGGCAGAGTGGTCGCTGGTCAGATATTTCTCGATTCAGAAGAATCAGAGTTGGAAACCCCTGTTCAAGAAGAGGAGGACAGCCTCAAGGGACAAGAGGAAGAAAGAACCACAGAAGAAATCAGCTTTCTGGAATCTTCAAATCCAGAAAGCACGGACTATGAAGAGCAAAAGAAAGTACAGAAAGCAGGTAATCTGGACATTTTCTCTGCCTTTGCTTGATGTAGGAAGAAGACAGTTTCAAAGCTAGTGTAGAAATCTAGTTTACTGATTGTTGTTGTTTGTTGTTGTTAAGTGCCTTTAAGTTGTAGGTGACTCATAGCAACTCTATGAACAAAAGACCTGGACACATGTATAACTTTCGTCCTTTCTCCAGGTTCATAGGGTTTCTGGAGGCAGGCTATTTTGGAAGTGGATGCCACTCCTGCTTCCAAGCTTGTTTTCTTTTCTTTTTTTTTTTTTAAATTTTATTATTTTTGTGTGCGTGTACCGTCAAACCAGATCTGAATGGTACAGGAGGAGATTGTCCCTGTGTGCCTCTAGGATTGTAGTTGCAGCTCCTTGCCACTAGGCCACCACAGCTCCCCTCCAAGCTTGTTTTAATCAGGGAGCTCCACCAAACACTGTCCATCTTGGGTAACCATTATCGCATTTGACACATCAGTGTCACAGTGTTTGCTGATTAGTTTGTTAAATATTAATAACATATAGTAAGTGCCACTCGATGGAATTTTCTAGATTTTAATACAGACATACCCTGGAAATATTATATGTTCAGTTTAAGTGTGTAGTAGCATTATGAAAACATTTCAGGTACTCTGAGAATTACCAAATGTGACATGAGACACAGAATAGGCCTTGATAATTAATATTGTTCTGCTCCATCCTGATGTAAATGCATACCTCGTTTGTAAGTAATAACGCCATCCTTACCACTCATAGTAGGACCACTAACTGAATTACCCGTAACTATACAAATTAGATTCTTTCTTCACATTAGTTTTTCAATTAAATTGCATTGGTGAGTTTTTTCTTGTGTTAGATGTTTTTAATTTTTGGTATTTTTCACGTCTCATGTCATTGTGGTTTTAATTTCTGAAAGGTTTATGTACTTAACCCATATGTAGTGTATGACATCATTACATTTTCTTTGTCTTGTTTGTATGCAGTCCCAACTGTATTATAACTGGAATTGTGTGGCCGTCAGTTCTAAACTTGCTCCCTTTTTCATCTTCTACTGCATATCACTTCCAGATTTATTGATCTTCCTGAACCCCACCTATATCCTGTGACTTTTATGTTCCAACCCCTTGTCACCTCCTCTTGTGCCTGAGGTGAGTGCATGCTCCTTAGCATGCCTCATACAGCCTCTGTGTCAGGCATGCCTCCTGGCTTCTGTAACTTCCTCCCTGCTGCTCTCCCCCAAGCATTGCTCCTTCAGCAGTGCTAACCCTTCACAGTTCTGCAGATATACCCTTTCGGCCATGCCTCTGTTCACGGGCCTTTGCTTAGGTTAGCCACACTGCTACAGTGCCATCCTTCACCCCACCTTGTTCAGTTCTCTCCTTCAAGGGTAGTTGAAGAGTCTCTGGTACGTGAGAAGTTGACATCTGGTCTCCCTGCCTTCACTCTTCCCCCCTTTAATGTCACTTATTTCTTTTTTTTTTTTAAATCTAAGTGTTTTTTATTAGATCATGACTCAAACCTCTGAAGTGCTAATGCGTCTCCATCAGCAGGGAAACAGGTCCCCACACTTAAGAGATCCTGATGCTGCTCAGCATAGCTGCAGGAGGAGAGGTGTAGGCATAGATGCCACAAAAGATCAGATCTTAAGGAGAAAACATTAACCGACCTTCATGTAATTAACACAGCCTCAAGCCACCAGGACACAGGCCCCCCCAACCCCCTTAATCTTCTCCTCAGCTCTTCTGCTGAAGAATTTGGCCTTTACGATGACTGGTTGCTTCGGGAGCTTTCCCTTCCCCAAGACTTTGTAGTAACCTGATCGAACTACATCAGTGATCGGAGCAGCTCCAGTCTTGTTTTTTGCAGCATTTATCCTTGTCCTTGTCTGCTCACTGACCAAAGTCCATAATTTGTCAAGGTTAACAGTTGGGCAGAAGCTCTGATTCCGCCTCAGGTGGTAATGTCTCATACCAACCTTCCCAAAATAACCTGGATGGTATTTGTCAAAGTTGATCCTGTGGTGATGCAAACCACCAGCATTACCTCGGCCTCCAGGGTGCTTCCGGTGCTTCCCGATGCGGCCGTGACTCACGTGGCCCCGAAGTTTGCGGGTCTTCCTCAGTCTTGACGGCATTTCGTTCGCTTACACGAAAAAAAGAGCCACTTATTTCTATAGCACCTAGACTAACACTGTTTCTTGTTCTGAAACTTCCCGTGGCTTTCTGTCACATTCAGAGTACAATCCAAATTCCTTGCTTACCAAGGCCTTGTTAATGAGGCTTCTCCTCCTATCTGTGACTTCTTCTCTTGCCGCTGCCTTTCACTCCTGTGACTCTTGCTGCAAGTTATCTTCCAGCCTTGTCCATTTTAGGATTATTTTCCCTCATCTGTATAATGGGTCTTCAAACTACCACCCCAGGTTCATTAAGTCACAAGGAGGGAGGCATAGGTCGTACTTATAGTCATGATTTATTACAGTGAACGAATACAAGGTAAAAAGAGCAAACAGAAAAGAAAATGGGGGGAAATCCAGGCATAAGCTTTGTGGAGTACTTCCGTTACTGATGTTATTAGGTGCCGGCATGTCCACTGTAGCTCATAGCCACCCCGTGGAGCAGCAGATCTGAGCCTCGCCCTGTCCTGCACCATCTTCACGATCTCTGGCATGCTTGAGCCCACTGTTAAACTCACTGTATCGGTGCATCTTTTTCTTAGAAAATTATAAGGATTTCACCTTTATCTTTAATCACATCAGTGACCTGGCCAAAAAAAATAAATAGCACCCATGGTCCTGGAGCATATTTTCCATTATTATTTGATCCTTTATTTCTTTTTCCTCCACTACTTTATTTACAAAACTGGAATACAAATTCAAACAAATTCTTTCCATTTCCCTCACCTCCCCACCCATCAAATTGTACAGCCCCATGATTAATCCCCCCTCCTTCTCCTGCACATCCACATCCCTCTGCTTCTAGCCTTTCCCACCCCTCCTGTATCCTTATATTCATTCTACAATAACGGTTTTATACAAAATTTATCCTTATGGGACTGAGATAGTTCAATCAGTCTAATGCTCTCCAGTCCCTCCCAAGGTAGGTAATAATTTACAAAGTTATTGCTCCTGTGTGCTACATTGTCTTCATTATGTGAATGTACCATGATTTCTCAATCCATTCGTTTGTGATTGGACATTTGGGCTGTTTCTATGTTCTTGCAGTGGTGAACAGTGCTCCTATGAACATTGGTGTACAGATCTCAATTTGTACCTCATTTCTCATATTATCAGGGTATATTCCAAGTAGTGGAATAGCTGGGTCATATGGAATTTCTATGCTCAGCTTTTTGAGGGAGCGCCAAACTGCCTTCCAGAATGGTTGCACCATTTTACAGTCCCACCAGCAATGTATAAGAGTTCCTTTCTCGTCACATCCTCTCCAACACCTGTTACTTGCTGCCCTGTTAAACTTGGCCACTGTTACTGAAGTGAGATGGTACCTCATTGTGGTTTTGATTTGCATTCCTCTTATTACCAGTGTTTTGGAACTTTTTTGTGTGTGTCTCTTTGCCATTCGAATATCTTTCTCTGTGAAAATTCTTTCCATGTCTTTTGCCCATTTTGTAATTGGGTTATCAGTCTTTTTCTTATGGAGGCCCAGGAGTATTCTGTAAACTTTTGTTATAGAACTCTTGTCTGAGATAGTATTACCAAATGTTTGTTCCCAGTCTGTAGGTTTTCTTTTCACCCTGTTGGGAAAAGTTTGATGTGCACAGGGATTTAATCTTAAAAAATCCCGTGCATCAATTTTATCCTCTTTAGATTGTATATTTCTGGTTGTATTTGGCAGTCTCTTTATACCCTGGCCTAGCGCCTCTAAGCTTGATCCCAGTTTGTCTCTTACGAATGTTAATGGTTTGGGGCTTTACTCCCAGGTCTCTTATCTACTTTGAGGTGATTTTTGTGTATGGTGAGATGTGGATCCTGTTTCAGCTTTCTGCAGGTGGAAGTCCAGTTTGCCAGCACCATTTGTTGAAGAGATTGTCATTTCCCCATTTGATAGCTTTGATTTCCTTATTGAATATCATTTGGTCATAGATAGCTGGGTCTGTTTCTAGGTTCTCAATTTTTTTTTCTTATTAAGGGTCTTCCTCTCTTTCAGTGACCCTCTGCCTTTCCCAGTATGATGTCTCTTCTCCAAAGACAGGTCCTTCCTGGCAACATGCCCAAAGCATGTGAGATGAGTTTTCCCCACCCTTCCCTCTAAAGAGCATCCTGGGTGCACTTCCTCTAGAACAAGCCTGCTTGTTCTTTTAACAGCTCATGAAAGACTCAGTTCTCTTCTCCAACACCACAGTTCAAAGACATCTGTTCTTCTGTCTTTCACTTTAAAAAAGAAACAAAAACAAACTCACTGCTATCATAGTGATCTCCTCAGCACAGCCCTGCAGGACAGAGTAGGGTTTCCAAGGCTGTAAATCTTTATGCAAGCAGATTACCTAATCTTTCTCCTGTGTAACAGCTGACCTTTTGGTTAAGAGCCAAATTCTTTGACCACTGTGTGCTTCAGCAACCAGTTATGACAGTGCTCATGAAGTATTGCTCCCACAGTGGCTTGTACCCAGGGATTTACAAGAGGCTGAGTGGCACAGTGGGTTAGGCATTCAACTGCTCATCAGAAGGTTGGTGGTTGGCACTTTGGAGGCACCTCAGAAGAAAGGCCTGACTTGTCAGTAGTGGTGTTTAATGTCTGGTGCATAATTGCCTGGTACCACTTTTTCGTCATCGTTCTGTGCCATCACGTCAGAGCCAACTCATAGCTGGTCCTCCAGCGGATTTTCAGAGGCTGTAAACCACCCAGGAAGGGATTGCATATCTGTCCCGTGGAGCATTCTGGTCAATTCAAACCACATGCCGTTGATTTTGTTGGTGTAACTCTTTATCCACCAGAGCTCTCTGTACCCTGCCTTGTTGCTCCTCTTGTTGTGTACCGTTGAGTCTGAACT